TTAACCTATTTAAGGTTTCTGGCAGGAAACTTTTAAAAAATAAAGAATATAACTACCTGACTAGTTTCCTTCAAAGGATTCATAGCAGCCACATTTCTGACTTCCAGAAGAACTGGTACTATTTTTCTGAATCCTTTAAAGCAGAGTGATTTTATAATGGGAACATATCTTGAGGCCACCAATTCTACAAAGATTTGTATTTACCATCTAGCATTTATAATAGTTTCACGGTTAGAGAAATCATTAGATAGGTTAAAGCTAAAAGTCTAAGACCACTTTGTACCATACCAACAAGAAAATAAGGTTATTTTACAAACCCTTCCTTCCCTTGCCCAAATCTCCGTCTATCCCGACTGTATAAATACTTGAAATATCGCGCAATAATTGAAATATCTGACATATTTTCCGTGCTGTAAAACATAGAAATGAGAGAATTTACTAACAAAAATGTTTTTTCCTCCAAAAATTAATTTACTGACTCATATAATCCTTTCTTCATGGTAAATGACTGATGGTGTTAGTGAAATAATCACCAAACATTAAATTTATATATCTATATGGTTCTTAAACTTTCACATGTATCAGAATTACTTGGAGGGCTTGTTAAAACCACATTGCTGGGATTTTTGCTTCTAGTCAAGATCAAATTACAAAAACCAGGTTTATCTTCTCACATAAAAATGAAAACAAAAACAAACGAGGTAAAATATAAGAAACAATGGTTTTTAAGACAATGAACACCAGGCAGTAAAGGGCAATGATTCCTGAAAGACAAAAAACAAATGCACTGAGCCCTTAGCCTGTGACTGCCCCAGTTTACTGCCTTGAGAATGTTTCTAGGCCATAGCACAGAAAGGGGGAACAGAGGGGTACCCTGGTGAACTCTGAGCTGACCGTCTGGGGAAACCAAACTTTAAGAGAGAATTCCAGAGAGGAAAGCAACATAGGAAGAAAAAACCCTTGTGCAGAAAGAGATCTGCAGAGGGTTCCCCTAAAATATACAGCAGAGCACTGATCAGTACACGCATGTGAGGAAACTATCCAAAGCACAGAACCATCAGAAAGGATCAAATGGAACGGTGTCCAGGCTTGATTAGGAAAAGGCCTGTTCCCATCAGCGAAACTAGAAAAAAACTCATAATTCATGGGATAGTGGGTAGAGTACTCAAGAAGGTCTTGCCTCAGTAGTAAAGATAATTAGTTCTAGACTGTGCATGGCTTCGGACCTAACAAAATTAACTTCAGTCTAGAACAAAGCTCAAAAAGATGTGTAAGAATACAAAAATATCCAATACCCAACAAGGTAAAATTCTGGCATCCAACCTAAGATGTGGCATGCAGAGAGGCAGGAACACATGACCCATAATAATGAGATGATCAATCAGAACCAACTCAGAATGACAAAGATACTATCTCAAGCAGAAACATGGAGAACATACAAACTACAACATCTGAGATGAAAAATAATAGATGGAATTAATGGCAGATTAAACAATACAGAGGAAAAGATAAATGAACTTAAAGGCATAGCAACAGAAACCCTCCAAAATGAACTACAAAGAGTAAATAAAACAAAACATGAAGAGCATCAGTGAGCTGTAGGCCCTCAAGCAGCCTAATACATGAGCAATTGAAGTCCCCGAAAGAAGGAAAGGAGGGAGGACAGAAAGTACCTGAGAAAATAATGGCCCCAAATTTCCCAGATTTGATGACATCTATAAAACCGCACATCCAAGAAGATCAAGTAACCCAGTTAGTTAAAGGCACAAGAAAACATGAATAGAACACCACCAAAGCATATTACCAAGTCACCCAAAACTAGGGATAAAGAGAAATTTTAAAAGAGCCAGAGCAAAAGACTTATTAACTACATAGGAGCCAAGATAAACATGACAGATTTCTTAGCGGAAATATGCAAGTAAGACAGTGGAGCAACATTTTAAAATACTGAGAAAAGGGG